TCTTCATATCAGCTATCCAGTACTGTCCCAAGACCCAGATACTCTGTCATATCCAAACTCTCCAACCTACCAACCCACCCTCTCTTTCTCTCTCTCTCTCTCTCTCTCTCTCTCTCTCTCTCTCTCTCTCTCTCTCTCTCTCTCTCTCTCTCTCTCTCTCTCTCTCTGAGTTCATCTTTCATCAGACTTTCAGCATCAGATATTCATAAGCTTTTTATCCATGCCAGTGAAATTAATATGATCAATCATTCTTTGTCTTCAACCGCGTAAGTGTTTAGCTGGAGGGAGCTGACAGTCAAAGGCTGTCTGAAATGGCACCCTTTTTACTAATGAGGGCCCATAGGGCTCTGGTCAAATGTAGTGTACTATATAGGGAATAGAGTGCCGTTTGGGACGCATCCACATAGTAATTACTAGACCGCTATGTCAGTGTGATCATTCGGTTCTCTGTTCCATAGTTGTCCTTAAGTGGGATGATGCTAGGAACAAATGCAGCTTTCAACACTGTTTTTCATAATTGAATTGTAATAAGATATTCAGAAGAAGTTGGTGTACTCAATGCTGAGTCAGATGCTGAGCTATAGTCAACCTCAATGCTCTTTGTCATCGTGTGTACATTGTGGTTATCTAGTAGACCGACTGCATACAGAGTTACCCTGTATTGTAGTCATGCAGCCATTTGTACTGCATGTCTTTGTGCATAATTTTTTTTGAATGAGTCATTTTATGAGTTATCAATGACATGATGAAGACAATCCAATTTGACTCACTAGTCATTAGTCACTGAAATTGAATAGAGGGAAAATATTCCCAATAATCAGTTGAATCAATAGAGAAATTATGTTCAGCTCACATATAACTATCAGGCTTGTAGTGGGGGTCGAATGTGATTCAACACACACTCACATGAACACACAAGTATTAGGCTAGATATGAAATACATCATGTCTGTCATCATGCTTGTACAGTATGGGACCTTTGTACATAACAATTTACCTTTCAGCCAATGAATGCTCAGACACCTGACATTAGATGATGTTGCTCCTCCTACTTTAACAGACACATGTTGCCAGGGGTGACCAAGTGTAGATAGATGGGTAGTCAGAAGTAACTTGATTCTGCTTAGGAAATTATGTATCTTGATGTCTCTGGTTTAGTGTGGCTGGCCAAGGGTTTGGCGGTGGGTGCTATTCATTAGGGCATGCAGGGAACCATTTGAAAATGTTTTGCAACAGATATTTTTTCCACCTTTTATTTATACAGGTAAGTCAATTAAGAATAAATTCTTATTTACAATGATGACCTCATTGGACCGGTAAGTCCACTTAGTCCCTCACCGTTTCAGTCAATTTTCTCATTTGGTGCCTAATGAACTGGATCCTGGAACTGGACAGTCAGGGAAGGGATGTGGTTTTCCCCACCTCTAAACACATTGACCCTGATGTTAGCCTGTCATTACTGAGGGTTGGATCCCCCTGATGTAATAGGACATCTCCCTGTTATTAGCTAACTACTTGTTTGTGAGCTGAGGCTTTTTGCAGTTTATACACACGTGTGCGCGAGTGTATGGACATCTGGGTGAATCAGCCAGAAGAAAATTGATCTGATTAAATCCTGCACACGCATTCTATGGGCTCAACATCCTCTTTTGCTGTTTCTGACTAAATTACTCACCCAGTCACACTGATTTTGGGTAAACAATAATGTAAAACATTCCCAGGTACATCATCTTCTAACTTTGAGTTTACACTTTAACAAAGAACGCCCTATTTGTATCGCTGACATCATGGGTATGTGTTTGTGTGTTGTTAATACCTGCTGTGCTTATTATTGCGTCATCATTCAAAATATGACATTTCCACATAATGGCCTAGTTTGTTTAGCTTATTGCTTTCTTCCTGAAGTACATATGGCTAGGCTAGATGGTGTGGTTTGATCCCATTTGATCATTACATCATTACATCCATAGGTCATCAGGATTGACATCTTAGTCCATAACCTGAATGACTTACGACAGAGGTATGATTGTAGGTATTAGATGTAATTATTTTGTTTGGATATGTCTGTATGGTATTAACTAAGGCTGGAAATTGCCAGGGACCAATAATATTATCACCATACTTAGGTGCCGATACGATAAGTATTGCCATTCTCCCTATTATTTATGTATTGCGATTCGATCCTGCGATGTTGTTTGCGATTTGATGTTCCAAATATATTGCTCACTATATGTCTGCTGCAGAGGGACAAGAGAGTGCATGAGAAAACATTTTGATAAAAGGGCTAAGAACATGTTGGCTCACTATTTAAAAAGAAGATGGAGAAAAAGCTAGCTATAGGATGAAAAATACAGGAGTTTTAAAAATATATTTTTTAATCTATACTTGGAGTCAAATATCAATATAATATCTTCCAGAAATAATATTGCGATATGTAACTGTATCTATTTTGTTTCCCCATCACTAGTGTTAACTCAATTATTCTTCAGGCAATGTTGACATAGGAACAGAGGATTGTTTAGATGAGACAGGGAGAGCTTATTAGTCTGACCATACAAGACATTATGGTGTGTCCTTAGTCTGCAGGAAACAAACTCATTACTGAAGCTCTTTAACCTCTATTGGATCGGTGTCCCTTATACGGGACGGTTGCTGCTCAATATGCGATATGTGACTAGAATGGTGTTGTAAACAACAGACAACCTTCCGGGACATAGACATGTCTTATATGGGCAGAAAGCTTAAATTCTTGTTAATCTAACTGTGGTGTCCAATTTACAGTAGCTATTACAGCTAAAAAATACCATGCTATTGTTTGAGGATAGTGCACAACAACAAAACACTTTTATCACGGCAACTGGTTTGGTACATTCACCTCTGAAGGTAAGTAATGTACTTACATTCAGTAATCTTGCTCTGATTTGTCATCCTGAGGGTCCCAGAGATAACATGTAGTGTAGTTTTGTAATTTTTATATTCATATGTAGGAACTGGGCTCTACAGTTTGACCTCTGGCTCCACACCCACCCCGCCCGGCCATCTAGATGTGTGACTGTTAGTGTCTTTTCTGTAGGGAAGCTAATAATCCATCATGTATGACATTCCTGGAAGTGTGCAAACTTAAATGTTGTATTACCATAGCATTTTTGTATGTTCTCTATAGTTACGTACTTGAAAACCAATTCGGCACATTTGGGAAAACTGGCAGACTTTATACAAAATATTGTGTGGTGATGTAATTCTTCACTGGATCAGTCTGAAACATTGTACACACACTGCTGCCATCTAGTGCACAACATCAAAATTACATCTAGAATCCTAAATCACTGTCTGGCCTTTCTCTTGCATTTCAAAGATGATGCAAAAAAAAGTATATTTTACCAGATCTAATGTGTTAAATTCTCCTACATTAATTTGACATTTCCACAAACTTCAAAGTGTTTCCTTTCAAATGATATCAAGAATATGCATATCCTTGCTTCAGGTCCTGAGCTACAAGCAGTTAGATTTGGGTATGTCATTTTAGGCGAAAATTGAAAAAAGGGTCCGATCATTAAGAGGTTAACTCTGAGACAATAAGGTTGGCTTTTCCATTATACACTCCAATACCAATTACCAAACTGTAATAGATGCAAAGTTTGAATTGGCAATTATAATTTGAATGTTTTTGCAGAATGCTTGATTAAAGCTGGTAAGAAAGCACATTGCTCCTGCTACTCAGACGAGACACAGAGAGACGTACAGATGTCCAGACAGACAGATGTCCTTACTCCTCAGGAAGGCCTAGGCCACTAAGGCCAGGCAGACTGTGCAGTCTGTGTGTACATCCATTGGACCTGCTGTGGAGGGGGTGAGATCATAGCTAGCTCACAGGTTTATTTCAGGCCTGTACACTACACCACATTACCTCTGGGTATGTTTGCTGTGGCTAGAGTAGAGAAGGGACTCGGGACAGGTGCTGCTGGCTTGGTTTTATTCGCACATCCAATGTTTCTAAGCAGGTACAAAAGATATCCTCGAAAAATGAATAAATCACGGTGGAAAAACTTGAATCACTGTGGAAAGACGGCCAATGGTAGTCATCTCTGAATTGCTAGTTTAACTCAAGATTCTTTTAACCATTTCCTTTCGGAGTCCTAGTTGAATGACCGGTGAAGAAGATGGGTTGATAGCCACATCGACACTACAGCAGACAATAAATATAGCTGAAGTAACTCCTCTTGAACCATAGATTACCACTGATATCATATGGTATTTAAAAGCTAACAATCCCTTTAATAATACATTTAATATTCTCCTCAGATGAGGGACAACCACACAGGGAGTGTCTGATTTTCATAACCTTTATTGGATTTTCTTTATCAATCGTAAGCTGTTCATACAGTGAGTGCGTGTGTTTGCGTTCCACAATGAAGGTTAATAAAACTGAAGGCTATCTGTGGGCATTGGTGTTGGGTTACAGCATCAGTCTGTTGGCTGATCCTCATCTGTATGTCTGTCTGTCCATCCGTCTATCTGTCAGTAGTGGGTCATTCAGCCTCCAAGACAGACGTCAGACTAACTCTTAACCAGATAGTTGTATCAAGGGCTTAACAATACTTCTTATGATCTTGCTGCCCATCCACATCAGAACACTTTAACACATTTACATTTACATTTACATTAACACAACAATGAGTCTGATGTTATGCTGTTTGTCATGGCTCAATATAGCTCCGTCTGTTCACGCTGGTGGGGCATCAAACAGGTGAGGCACGTAGAGAGATCAACACCACTAAGCTGAACAGTGATTCTAGGCTTTATGTGGTCTTTGTAATGTTCTCTTCCCTGTACTCTCTCGTCTTCTGTAAGCCTGGTATAGCCACAGTATAGTAGTCGAGATATTCCCAGATTGCTTGTATGCAACGTGTTTGTGTGTGAGTACAGTTTGCAACCCTGACTGTGATAATGGAAGGCCATTGTGTGTGTGTGTGTGTGTGTGTGTGTGTGTGTTCTCCTCAGACACTGGGAGGCCATTAAGAGGTGGGATGAAGCCATCCAGCTGACTCCAGACAACCCTCTACTGTATGAGATGAAGTCCCAGGTACATTACAATACTACAGCTCTCTGCCACTTATCCTCCTGCTGCTCCTCCTCCTCCTGCTGCTCTCCCTCCTCTTCCTCAGCCCCTTCTAAGCCTCTACTGTAGGAGCTGACGTCCCAGGTACGTTACAGTACCACAGCTGTCAGCCACTTATCCTGTTCTCCAACTCTCCAGTCCTCAGACCACAGCCAGCCAGTTAGGGCCAGATACAGCCAGTTAGGGCCAGATACAGCCAGTTAGGGACAGATACAGCCAGTTGGGGCCAGATGGGGCCAGATACAGCCAGATGGGGCCAGATACAGCCAGTTGGGGCCAGATACAGCCAGTTGGGGCCAGATACAGCCAGTTGGGGCCAGATACAGCCAGTTGGGGCCAGATACAGCCAGTTGGGGCCAGATACAGCCAGTTGGGGCCAGATACAGCCAGATGGGGCCAGATACAGCCAGATGGGGCCAGATACGGCAAGATACAGCCAGAAAACAATTGCCTCAGTCTGTCTCTGCTACACACAGAACATGTTGTTTTGTATGATCCTTTTTTGTCTCTTTCTTGTTCTCTGTGCTGGTACAGTACAAACATAGTCTGTCTGTCGACTGTAACTTCCTGATACAAACTGTCAGAAGTAAGTTACTCCTGGAAGCTCTCTGACAGGTGATCAATTAAGTTTAGGACATTTTTGTACTTGAGCTGTGCCATGAAAAACACAGCCTGCTGTGAAACTACACAGCTGGAGATTTCAAAGTGAATCTCTTCATACAAGGACAGTGAGTAGAGGATAGACATTTTTGTTCTAGATGGTCAAAGATTGTGTGTGTGTGTGTGTGTGTGTGTCACTGTGTGTGTGTGCATGTTGACGTGTTCGTGATCCCATGTCATCAGGATGTTCTCAGTTCTCACCTAACCCTCTCCCAGCTGCAACATTTGGTATGCTTTAAAGTGAGAGCAGAGGACGGTGGTCTGGTCGGCATGGTGATGACACCGTGGAAACTATCCAGCCTGGGCTCCACTGGGAGTATCAGTGTGGGCACCACCTCATTTTGTGGGCAGTGTGCACATAGCCTGTCTTCTCTCAATAGCAATGCCATGCTCACTGAGTCTGTACATAGTCAAAGCTTTCCTTGTGTCAGTCACAGTGGCCAGATATTCTACCCTATGTACTCTCTGTTTAGGGCCAAACAGCATTCCAGTTTGCTCAGTTTTTTGGTTAATTCCTTCCAATGTGTCAAATAATTCTCTTTTTGTTTTCTCCTAATTTGGTTGGGTGTAATTTGGTTGTCTCTCTCTCTCCCTCTCTTCCTTCTTCCCTCCCTCCCTGACACCCAGGTGTCAATGAGAGTAGAGATCAGACTAGCTAACCAACAGAGATGTGATGGGGGGAGGGGGTGGGGAGAATCATAGAGCAGAGCAGCTGGCTATCCCTGACTGTGATCTATAGTCACACCACGTGTCCCCGCACTACTCCAACAGTATCTGTAGCACAATTCACTTTATCCTTATACATAGCCTTAACCTTTCCAATCAGCATTTTCCCTCCACGCTTTTAATGGCTGACATTATCAACCATGATATTACATCTGAGGATAATTTAATTACGCATCCTCATTTAGCCAAGTTCTCAAATACTCTGCTATATCTTTGGCTGCTACATAACTTTATTAGTCATGTTTTAAAAGGGATCAGAAACACACAGAACTCTATTTGTATGCTGTGTAGCAGAGGAGACATTTCCCTCCCTCATTAAATTATATTCTGATGTGTTTCATTACACATGAATAGCTCAGCTTTAACACTCTGACCGGTGCAATAAAAATATCTGTCCCCATTAGTCCAGCCTCTGTCAGTTGGGCGTTCTCCACATGCTGCAAGACGAGCTATCGGAGTATGTCTCATTAGACAGCTCTGTCAGAGCCAGAAGACTGTGAGACAGACATTTGCCATTCACTTCCTCTTATCACCTTCCTCTAACTCAATTAGCCTCGCTATGACATGCACAGTCCTCTTTGTGTCTGTCCATCACACTCTCCTTTGAAAGCCTAGTCCTTCTGTGTTCGTCACTTTCTCCTTTGAAAGTTTTGATTGGTATGAGATCCCATTGCAGCCCAGTCATCACTCCACTGATGTCTGTCTGTAAAGCTGCATGAGGCATGAATGTTGAGGACTAACTTTATTGTCCATTGAATATAACGTCTACCTTAGAATAACAGTTAAAAACAATGTGACACAATGTGAATCCCACCATTCTGTGAGTTACCCTGTGTTGCCTGTGTCACCATATCTGTTTATTTATCTGTTGCTAAAGTTGAATAGAATGGTGCTTTATTATATTTGTATTCTGGATGCAAATGTGACTTTTCCCCCTTGACGGCACACATACAATTTACTTCCATGATACTTCCATGAAATATGACCCTTTATGCAGAGTCTTTGACCATTGCCCTCTGACCTGCAGGTGCTGACCATTCTGCAGGAGGTGTTCCCGGCGGTGCAGGCAGCAGAGATGGCTGTGAAGCTCCGCCCCCTGTGGTGGGAGGGCTGGCAGACCCTGGGCCGTGCCCAGCTCAGCCTGGGAGAGGTGGACCTGGTCAGTTTTACCACCTACACATTTTTCACACTGTCGTGCCAACCCTAAACAAACTGTGCTGTCTCTGATATTTTCTTTTCACATGGTCCTGTTGAGCACAGTTCCAGCAACTATGGAGGATGTGTAACCAGGCCAGCTTGGTACAGTTTGGTTGGCTCTGCTAGGGTTTGCTCGGCAAGGTTTGGCTCTGTAGTGTGAAAAGCACACAAGTTGTGTTTTATGCTCAGATTCAGGTAACCTAACTTGAGATCCATGCACAGAAAAACAAAGATATGAGTGCATAATGCACTTCTCCCTCTGACATCAATACAAGGTTTAGCAGGTGGCTGAGTCGTACATGTCTCACATGTTACTGTAAGGTAGTGAGACTGTATGGAGGTGAGACTGTTCGGAACGGAGACTGTAGGGAAACGGCCCTAGCTTGTCTGTCATCCCCACAGACACTAATATGTCAGCCATTACCCTGAGCTCTTATTTCTAACTTTTCCCTGTTCCCTCTGAGATAAAGTTGCTCTTCTTTTAAAGCACACCCAAGTGCCTAGGGCATGGAAGATCACTTAAGGTGCCCCACAATGCACGCCTGAACCTGTATGGATCTGTATGAAACCTGGCTGGATCACAGTTGGACTGCTGCTCTGCCATTGAGACAGGAGAGAAGAAACACCTAGCTGAACTCTGAAACTGCCCCTGTGTGTACATCTCTACATCTCTAATGTCCCAGGGCAACCCAAAACAACAATGGGAAGTGTTGAAAGTTTCCTGAGCTACAGCTCGCCAAATATATACACGCTTCCATATATAATGGAGAGGTATTAAGAGGATAGGAGAAAATGGCAGTCTATATTTAGAGGGTCTTGTTCAGTCGCGTTTCAGGATGTTGTGTGCATTGACATGTTTGAGTAGCACCCTGTTTGCACAAAGACGGGCGCAGAGATCTCTGGCTTCACATACACAAGTGTCTCTCTTTCTCTCTCGCTCTCTCTTTCTCTCTCTCTCCCTCTCTCTCTCTCTCTCTCTCTCTCTCTCTCTCTCTCTCTCTCTCTCTCTCTCTCTCTGTGTTTTTTCTTGTTCTCTGTCTTTCCATTTCTCTCTTGCTCGCCCTCTGTTTTTTCTTGTTCACTGTTCTCTCTGTCCATTTCTCTCTCTTTTCAATCTCCCTCTCTGTTTTCTCTTGTTCTATTTCTCCCTCTCTGTATTTCCTCCTATTTATCTTTCTTTCTCTCTGTATTTACCTAGTGCCCTGATTGACTCTGAATGGCATATGTGCTATAATAATGCTATAATAATAAAACGGTTACGGTATTTGGTTGGGGGATCGTTGTTGAAATGAGTGAAGGAAGGGGCACAGAAGACCTAATTCCATCTTTGAAAGATCTGTGCTTTTGAAAGAACTGTGTGGATACAAACCATTTACCCTATGAGTCTTGACTTGCCAGAGTACCTTTTTTTCTTGAAAGTTTCGCTTGACTTAGCCTTTTACAGTATTTTTGTTTGCATACTTGTTGCAGTTGGGCAAACCAAACCAGTCCGTTTCAGGAATGTTGACCTATTAAGAGCTGAGGTTTCCTTTAAGACTGGTATTTGAGGAGATTAGAGAGACAGAAAGTTGCTTAAGTCCCATCCTTTTAACATACAGATACAGGCCATAATAGTCCAGGTGTGATTGCCGAGTCCTGTAATGGTGGCTTGTAAAATCGATTCACCATTCTGTGAATCACATCGTGGTCTCGTTTGGACCTTGAGGAGAATAAGAGGGGTGGTAGAGAGAACAGGAGAAACAGGAGAGAGAGAAAACAGGAGAAGCAGGAGAGAGAGAGAAAACAGGAGAAGCAGGAGAGCGAGAGACAAGGAGACAGAGTGTGCAGGAGAGATGGCGAATGAGAGAGAGCTAGAGAGAGGGCAAGAGGAAGCATCTTCACCAACCATGGGATAAGGAGTGTATATCTAAATAACCAGGGCCTGGAGTTTTCCCAGGTAGTGAGCCCAATCCCCCCATGGAGCGAAGCTTGGTCCTGGGGTGTGTGGAGGAGCTGGCTATCGCTCAGCCTGAGGTTGCGGGTGGAGTAATGGGATAAGAGCAGTTATCTGATTTAAGATTTTATATATAAGAATCTTATTACCCAAGGGGATAAATAAAGTTGTATATTATCTTATTCATCTACTGCTGTGTAAACACTGATGCTGATCAAGGCCTCTAGGTTAGAATGAGGCGGATGAGATTATAAAAAATAAAAAAAATTATTCACTAACTGTAAGTCGCTCTGGATAAGAGCGCCTGCTAAATGACTAAAATGTAAATGTAAAAAAAATATTCTTGGTCATTACTGAACCAGCGTCAGCCACATTTGAGTTTGGTCTGAGATACTTTGTTATTAATTTGAGCTTGGCCAGAGATGGCTGGAAGGGATTCAACAATGCATTTCTAATGGTATTCAACTCATTTTGGTCATGATCAGATATAATTTGCAAACTCAACAATTATCATGAAAAGCACTTAGTGTGAGATTGAAAGATTAATTTCATAATTCCACTGGCAGGGCAATGGTTTGATTTATTACCCCATTACCGTGTGAAGTATGATTTGCCCTCCTCCAGAGTTAGACAATTATGTGTAAATCGATGTACTTATGCCTGGTCAAATGAATGAAGGATTGAGGCCGTAGTAATGACACGGTGAATCTCTGTAATGAAACTAATGTGACAGGAATGAGGTTTTGTTGTCGCTGACATTCTGATGATAGACTAGAGCTACCATTTCATATAGACACATTGTTGCCAGTCTCACGCTTCCTCACATCATCAAATTAGAGGAATTAGTATGCAGAAACGGCAGACTTGCATACTGATCCTTTTAAACGTATTTATTGCGGAACATAGGGATACTAGGAAACAGATCTATTACGACATTAATTTACAGTTCACTCTTTACAGATGATGGAACTGAAAAGAGAGTGCTATAGATTCTTTGACCTCCTTTGACTTTTAGTTGTACACAATTTGACATGATGTGGTGCCACTGATTTACTGTAGACCATCTAGTAGAGTGATCTTTGATTGTAATATGAACGAACCGTCAACATATGGATTTCCCTATAGCATTGGAGCTGTTTTCTGGTTCTCATTAGGCATTGTGACCAACAACACCCACTACTCCTTTTACTCTCAGAGCAGATCTAAATCAACTGAATTGAATAAATACGTGTCTGATTTCAATGCAAAGCCCTGAATCTTTCCGGATAGTAGTATAAAAAACACAAACCACCCCGTTTGAAAACATAAAGGTACATTTGAGACCTTCCCTTAACTTTGTACATTTCCATGATTCCCATTTTAAGACAACTGCACCCCATTCCCAGTGAAAGGGACTGATGGCCATTCACTAGCAAAGTACATAGAAACAGGACCCCTGGGGACAACCAAAACAGTACAGTTGTTTTTACTCATCAAGCTTCTCCAATGGTCATATCACGTCAATGCTTTGGTATTTGGTATTTTATTAGGATCCCCATTAGCTGTTGTGAAAGCAGCAGCTACTCTTCCTGGGGTCAACGTAAAACATGAAACATGATATTGTACAGAACACCAATAGACAAGAACAGCTCAAGGACAGAACTACACAAAAACTACACACCTTTCCTTTCAAAGCCTTCAGTCTTCCCCACAAAAAGATTTGTCCTTCGTTACCAGTCATTTGTGTTAATCTTAAGTCAATAAAAAGATGTTAACAGAAAGGAAAATACCACAAAAGTCTTCATCCTTTCCACAGGCGGTGAGGTCCTTCCAGGTAGCGGTCCACCTTTGTCCGTCAGAGCGCCCCCTCTGGTCGGATGACCTGGCATGGGCACGGCGGCTGCAGCAGCAGAGACGGGCGGCCCAGGACCAGACCCAACGGGAGGAGGAGGCCCAACGGGATCTCCTGAACCCTCCAGAGCTCCAGCAGGACTACGACTTTGAGTCAGACGAGGTGGTGGTGGCCTGCACTGCCGTAGCCGAGAGACAGAGACGCTATGAGGAACTGAAGAGGACAGTCGTGGTTGTCGACACGGAGGGGAATTCCAGGGAGGTACCCGTGGAGGAGGAGGTGTCAGGGGACACACCCTCTTCATCACAGGATCAGTTGGTCAAAGCACGGGGACTATGATGTGTCTGTTAAGGACTTATGGACTAGAATGGATCTTATGGACTGAAATGGGTCTTTTTGTTTTTGATTTTTTGAGTCTTTATTCTTATGCATGTCGTTATGGTTTTCTGTTTTAGTCAACAACAGACTGTGGGTGATAGAGGTAGATTTAATCAAATAAATGTTTGTTTTTGTGTGTTATGCTTTCACTGTTTATCAATGCTCTCATATTACTGGCATTTAAAAGACTGGATTTGAGCATAACCAAAAATATTTTTTATTATAATTTGGCACTCGAGAGGTCAATAGTCACTCATTTTGGTTAATCCTCCTCCTGGAAAAAAAGGATCCTGTTGTGTTTGGAATATGTCTTTCAGTCCCATTTATCTTAGACACATTCAGGGCCGGTTTCCCCAGACACAGATTTGACCTAATCCTGGACTAAAAAGCTTTTTCAATGGAGATTCTCTATTGAGCTTGCTTTTTTGTCCGGGAAACTGCCCCTTAGTCTTTTGGAATGTCTCAAGTTCTCCCTGGAAAGCTCCTCTCACTTGAGTCAATCGCGTCAGTCAAGCTGTTATTAAAAAATAAACCTTTTTGAATTGCAGTTTCATGCAACATAAAGTCGCAGTTGGAAGTGCTATTTTATAATGACTAACGGACTGGTCTTATCTGTTGGGAAACTCTGTCTCCATGGTAACACAGAGAAATAAACCCCACAGAGAAATAATATTGCATGAGTATTCCCAGAATTCCAGCTGAGTGTTAGAATTTGTGTGTCATATGACCCTCCATAGGGGATGGGTGAGCTGCTAAAACAATATATCCACCTTGGGCTTTAATGCCAGCAGCAGGCTAGCGCTGAAAGCTCTGTGCAGTCAGCCTGGACTGGCCATGCTGAGAAGTCTAGCAGCTTGAACAGTCATTGAATTTGAATGGCATCTTCTAATAGCAAGATTGTTTTCATGGGACACTCAAAGGGTTTTGTATGACTAAAACAGGCTATCAGATTTAGGGGTATATTATTGCCGATATTAAAAGAGAGGCGCTGTGAAAGAGGAGACAGGTTTCTGAGAGGATTCATGTATTAAAATCATATTAAGACCATTTCGTCATCTGTATCTCTCTGAAATATATTTCCTAGTAATACAGCTTTAAAGGCGTATTCTGACAGAGGGAACTGGCCTCATACTAGAACATGAATCTCAGGGGAGGCTTTATGATTTAAATAGGGCATTACACGTCAGGAACATTTTGTCATTAGACAATAATAAATTGTTCTTGGTAAAGAACTACAAACGGTGCCTATATCATTGTAACAGACCATTGGTAGGAAATGTGTTTTGGTCATCATCACTACGATAATGGAAGTAGGCAAAGAAGCGGCAACTATGGGTAAAAGCAGACTTTGTTCTCTCAACAAGTCAACCACACTGAGAGTATGTATTTACAGTGCAAAACTCTGGTAATGTTGTCAAAACCGTTCAAATCATTTAAATACCTGCCACAAAAATTCTCAAAACAAGTCTGGAGCATAAGATTGTGGTAGCTTGTCAAAATGGGGCCTGACTGTTTTAGTAACAGTCATTCATTTTATAGGACTGAGTTCATTCACTGGTAATGTGGGGGGTGATAGGAGCTGTGAACAAATAGTGGGAGAGGGAACAACTGTTTAGACCATGAGAATGCTCATGTATAATCTGAATTATATTGATGTTTCTGTAACTGACCCAGCTGATGTAGTAATACTTTTTTTGTCAATAATGAGAAGATGTATCCATTTTACCTGTAATGTGTCAATTGAAAATAAATCAATTGGTTACAAGTAACATTGCAAATTGAATTAGCCTTTTATTTGCTATATGCTATATTTGGACTATAGTATTCACTCCCCCAGCGTAAGTCATGGAAAAGATTGAACAAAACTTGGTAGGCTACAAATATTTTTTACTTGTGGATGTACAGTACAGTACAAAATCTGAAAAAGCTGCTTACTTCTGAATAAAATGTAGCAAAGCATATGCAGCCAACCTAAACCAGTCTTTACGACTGACCTGATAAACTGACTACCTGATCAAGTCCTCTGAAAAATATAACTTCTGAAGGATGTGACTGATACTGCAACTCGCTGTTGGCTGGGCTCCCTGCCTGTGCCATTAAACCCCTACAACTCATCCAGAATGCCGCAGTCCGCCTGGTGTTCAACCTTCCCAAGTTCTCTCACGTCACCCCGCTCCTCCGCACACTCCACTGGCTTCCAGTTGAAGCTTGCATCTGTTACAAGACCATGGTGCTTGCCTATGGAGCTGTGAGGGGAACGGCACCTCCGTACCTTCAGGCTCTGATCAGTCCCTACACCCAAACGAGGGCATTGCGTTCATCCACCTCTGGCCTGCTGGCTCCCCTTCCTCTGCGGAAGCATAGTTCCCGCTCAGCCCAGTCAAAACTGTTCGCTGCTCTGGCACCCCAATGGTGGAACAAGCTCCCTCACGACGCCAGGACAGCGGAGTCACTCACCACCTTCCGGAGACATTTGAAACCCCACCTCTTTAAGGAATACCTGGGATAGGATAAAGTAATCCTTCTACCCCCCCCCTTACCCCAACCCACCCCCCCCCCCCCCCTAAAAAAATAATAATAAATAAATAAAATATATAAAAAAATTACATTGTAAAGTGGTTGTACTACTGGCTAGAAGGTGAATGCACCTATTTGTAAGTCGCTCTGGATAAGAGCGTCTGCTAAATGACGTAAATGTAAATGTAAATATTGATCAATGATCTGTGACCTCTGTCAGATTAATCCTATAATCAGTATTGATGTTTAGTTTTAGTGCCATCAGTGGGCTGGCCTGAGTTGATAACTTAGGCTTTGATCAGGTAGTCCGGTTACCAGATCAGTCGTAAAGACTGGTTCAGGTTGGCTGCATGTGTTTTGCTGCGTTTTCCTGTGGCCTACTTACGACCTTCCTCATTGAGCTCTGTGGGTATTTCACTCTACTCCTCATGGCCATAACTGCTTTATGCAACGACTGCTTATTGATAATAATGTCAGTCAAAGTTGTTGTGAGTTTAGGTAGTCAGTAAAAGGCTGGTTCAGGTTGATTGTATTTTGCTCAGTCCAATATGACCCTCCTCCACCATCAAGCTCTGAGGGAGTTTCTCTCTACTTAAGAAGAAGTGTAGACAGGATTGAACCAACATGGAGGTGTCGAGGGGCAGCCAGAGTTTCTATATAGCGTACTTCTCATGGTCATATAGCAGCTTGATGCAATGTTTGGTTAGCCTAGTAGTAATGAGATGTCAGTCAAATTTGTCGTGAGGGGGTGCAATCATAGGAGTGCAATACCGTAATGTTGCTCGGTGTCAGAACAGATAGACTTGTGTGAGCTGGTTCATTTTAAACTTTGAAATCCTTAATTTAATATTTTAATATTAGAAACATACAGTTTCTCTTTTCTTTAGCCACATTAAAAGCAAATCATCCAAAAACACATTGCAGTTCTGCACTGATATCATTTAATTGGGGGGAAAGTAATGCCATGCACATATAAAGTGTCATTTGAACAAAACAAAAGACAACAGCAATGTAAATCCCCTTTGTTATTTCAACCATACAAGCTGTAGGATCTTAATTTGATCACTCTTTTCTGCAGCAGGAAATGCAGAGGATCTTCGTGAGTTACATAAATTCACTGAAAACCCACACTAACACATGGTTATATTAACATTATTCCACTTTTCATGTAGCCTCATTTTGACCAGCTAATAGCCTAACCACCGATTAGGCAACATTATGGACTAAACGTCCAAATCCTGTTGCTGCAGGATTATTTTGCTGCGACAATACAGGTCAAATTAAGATCCTATCTGTACAAGCTCAGTACAAGTAACATTTTTTGGACTGAAATTGATTTTATGGACTGAAATGGCTCTTATGGACTGAAATGGGTCTTTCGTTTTTGTTGTTTTGAGTCTTTAAATGGTGTTTACTTGATAGCTACCTATACATAACTAGCTACCTAGAATAAAATGTGTTTAAGATAAAAATTCATGCATGGGATTATATGCTCAATATTCTTGCTGGATTTTTATACTTCAGGCATTGTTGTGAAGCTGCCAAGTAAACAAATATGATACAATTGTTTGCAAATGTTGAAATGTAGCACACAATTTCAATCCATTTTGCAACAATTTGACGTGGATAAAAACTAACTAGACCTTCTCATAGAGAAGAAACATTTATTTTTTACTTTCTAAAATAAATTAATGTTATGGGACACAGTTCACATTGTAGCCTCAGGACTATACAGTATATCACAACAATTGTTTTGGTGGAGGCCAGTGGTAAGCAGTGGTCCTTGCCTTCCGGGATCGTTGGGACGTCCCTACCCCATTGTAGTTGAAATTTTAAAAAATGTAAGGTTAGGATTAGGTAAATGTTCTGGTTTGGTTAGGGTTTAGCGTATAGACGTCCCAAGGATCCCGGATAGAACTATGATAGCATGGTAGCATTCAGTGACTTTCAGTGGGTTTGAGTTTTTGAAAAGTGCAATGAAATATCCTTATTGTCTTTATAAAGTTCAAATAACATTTTATGTTCATTACTGATGTGTGTGCTGGTATATGTATATTATATTGGTATTCTTGTAATAAGACTGTGACATATAGAATAGATCCAATATATGATCTATGTAAATAGATCCAATCTCCTACAATCCACTTTGGCACCGTGTTGACATTTTGTCCGAACCCTAAACAGGATATCATGCTTCAGCTAGGAGCATCACTGATTAACTAAACCGACTCCCAGTCTTTTTTGTTTTATGTAGTTGTTTTTATACAAACAATACACAGGAAAACATTTTCCTTATGAGTTCAACCCTTCAGAAGTCCCAACCTTTAATGCTATTAGAAGTCCTTTTTCCCCTCTGTGACTTTTCTGTGTTATCCGCCACTCTTGCAGAGTTTGTGTTTATGTCCGTCAGATGCATTTCTCCTGTAAGTTCAGTGTCTCGTCTGTAAACGTCACATGTAGAGTCTTGTCTTTTCTGTCCGATGGCACCCTGTTCAGAGGTGAAGGGTCAACTGTCCCATCTGTCCTCATTGATATACTGGGACCTAAAGTGCCCTTTTTGGAATCCTTTTGCATCCCCTTCCCCCCTGGTGTCTGTTGGTCCTGTAGCAGGGAGCGCTCCACAGCCGGGGGGCTGGGTCTTCCCTCTCCCCCTGTCCCTCTAGCCCCCCCCCCGGTCCCCTCCGGCAGGTAAAGAAATGTCTGTGAAGTACTGATGACCTCCCTCAGCTCGCGTGACACCAGCGACGGCGAATCCCGGGACACGATGGACGAATTCGGATTACCTTCACCTCCGCAGCGGAATTGACCCCTGACCCCTGAGCCCCGCCCCCGGCCGCCCATGCGGCAGAACAGACACTTGATCTTCTCCACCAGCTTCAGCAGGACAGTCTTCCTCAGCAGGATGTATATCCAGGGATCCAGGATGGGGTTGATGGAGGCAATGCGGATGGCGTGGAGATCTGGGTTCTTCTCTAGGGGAGTTGAATGGGCGTCGAACGCAACCATGGACAGCTGGTTCACAAACACCCGCAGCTGAGGGAAGAAGGAAGGGAGAGGGACAGGGTTGGAGGGTTATTGGTTATTCAGTGTATTTATGAGGATGGTGTACCTTTGAAGCTTCAGTAGGTGTGTTCAATAGGATTCCCATATTGAATCCTGTTGAACTATCCTAATTGAATCCTATTGAAGTAGCTTTCCAGCCTGCTTATATCTGTACCCGTGAATATCATTAACCTAAACCTACAGTGAGGGAAACATTTATTTGATCCCCTGCTGATTTTGTACGTTTGCCCACAGACAAAGAAATGATCAGTCTATAATTTTAATGGTAGGTTTATTTGAACAGTGAGAGACAAAATAACAACAAAAAAATCCAGAAAAGCGCATGTGAAAAATGTTATAAATTGATTTGCATTTTAATGAGGGAAATAAGTATTTGACCCCTCTGCAAAACATGACTTAGTACTTGGTGGCAAAACCCTTGTTGGCAATCACAGAGGTCAGACGTTTCTTGTAGTTGGCCACCAGGTTTGCACACATCTCAGGAGGGATTTTGTCCCACTCCTCTTTGCAGATCTTCTCCAAGTCATTAAGGTTTCGAGGCTGACGTTTGGCAACTCGAACCTTCAGCTCCCTCCACAGATTTTCTATGGGATTAAGGTCTGGAGACTGGCTAGGCCACTCCAGGACCTTAATGTGCTTCTTCTTGAGCCACTCCTTTGTTGCCTTGGCCGTGTATTTTGGGTCATTGTCATGCTGGAATACCCATCCACGACCCATTTTCAATGCCCTGGCTGAGGGAAGGAGGTTCTCACCCAAGATTTGACGGTACATGGCCCCGTCCATCGTCCCTTTGATGCGGTGAAGTTGTTCTGTCCCCTTAGCAGAAAAACACCCCCAAAGCATAATGTTTCCACCTCCATGTTTAACGGTGGGGATGGTGTTCTTGGGGTCATAGGCAGCATTCCTCCTCCTCCAAACACGGCGAGTTGAGTTGATGCCAAAGAGCTCCATTTTGGTCTCATCTAACCACAACACTTTCACCCAGTTCTCCTCTGAATCATTCAGATGTTCATTGGCAAACTTCAGACGGGCATGTATATGTGCTTTCTTGAGCAGGGGGACCTTGCGGGCGCTGCAGGATTTCAGTCCTTCACGGCGTAGTGTGTTACCAATTGTTTTCTTGGTGACTATGGTCCCAGCTGCCTTGAGGTCATTGACAAGATCCTCCCGTGTAGTTCTGGGCTGATTCCTCACCGTTCTCATGATCATTGCAACTCCACGAGGTGAGATCTTGCATGGAGCCCCAGGCCGAGGGAGATTGACAGTTATTTTGTGTTTCTTCCATTTGCGAATTATCACACCAACTGTTGTCACCTTCTCACTTGTAGCCCATTCCAGCCTTGTGTAGGTCTACAATCTTGTCCCTGACATCCTTTGAGAGCTCTTTGGTCTTGGCCATGGTGGAGAGTTTGGAATCTGATTGATTGATTGCTTCTGTGGACAGGTGTCTTTTATACAGGTAACAAACTGAGATTAGGAGCACTCCCTTTAAGAGTGTGCTCCTAATCTCAGCTCATTACCTGTATAAAAGACACCTGGGAGCCAGAAATCTTTCTGATTGAGAGGGGGTCAAATACTTATTTCCCTCATTAAAATGCAAATCAATTTATAACATTTTTCACATGCGCTTTTCTGGATTTTTTTGTTGTTATTTTGTCTCTCACTGTTCAAATAAACCTACCATTAAAATTATAGACTGATCATTTCTTTGTCAGTGGGCAAACGTACAAAATCAGCAGGGGATCAAATACTTGTTTCCTTCACTGCAGTTGCTTGTCATGTTATTGTTGCACAAGAAAAATATATACATGCGTACATAACAAACTATCATGGTTGCTATGAAAGCAAAGCTTCTAACCTATTTGGGTATGTCGTTGTTAAGTTGGCATATGATGGGCAGTAGAGCGCATTGTAGCTAGCAGCACTAGTATCTGCCCAGCAGACAGTGGCATAGAAGCCTGGGCAGAGAGCCAATGAAAACACAACCCCACCCCCAAGTTAATCATCAATCATATGAACGTCTCTGGCTATTGGCTCTCCCAAAGGTCCAATCAACAACCTATCTCAGACAATGTCAATGTAAGTGAAGTGAAATAACTGTCAGGCACAGGGTTAGTTATGACTATACGATAAAATAAGATTATATGGGTGACTCCCTGGGGTTGTTCACGGTAAATACAATAGGAAAGAGAACTCTGGGACACTGATTATAGAACTACAGTCTTCTTCAAATGTTCATTTCTGCCTTTCAGTTCATATTTTTGAAGCTTGCAGGATGAATTGTCTAGTGGATCTGTCCTTAGCTCTCAGTCAGAGCATTGGGATGGCAGATAGAACTCCATATCTCATTATAGACTACAGGGTCTTGTTCAGACCTTAAGACCTCTGTTCATCTTTTCAGTTGTTTCCCCTGGTGTTTTTGAAGCTTGCCATATGAAATGTACTGTCTCTAGTGGGTATGTCCTTACATGTAACTAACTCTCAAATGTGGCATGGGGACGGTTTATAGAACACAATATATCATTGATCCTTTCAGTGCCTTGCAGTTAATTTTTTTCATTTTCTCTGTGGATTGTTTTTGAGCTTGCAGGATGTACTGTCTCTAGTCACTGTCCTTACAGTATCCTCTTGTAACTGTCATGCAGTGCATGGGGAGAGGATGGCTTATAGGACTCTGTACAGAGGACAGAGCTCAGTGGAAATGTTTGGCACTGGCCGAGCAGCAGACAGACAGGTCCCATAAGACACAAGTGGATGGACATAACTAGTTTTCGCTCTTACTATGTCTGCATGTCCAGTTGATATTGTCACCATGGGAGAGCTTTTAAATCATAAAATCCATATCTGTAAGCCTTGTATAACAAGTATACACAGACAGAAGGCTCCACTGATGACATCTGGGGCCGGTTGAACCAGTTGGACTTCAAAATCAGGGAGATCGTTCAAGATTGATGTCGAAATTGGACGTCTATCCATGTCCTGAGAATGTCGTGAAATGCCTTCAAAACTGGCCACTAGGGGCAACAGTGAGCGCTATTACATTCAAGAAGGCTTAAAGGGATAATCCACACCCAGAAAAAAAAATCATGAAACTCCTGTCAATTTGGTGAAAGGCTGTGTAGGTAAAATAAAAATGTTCCCCATGATTTAACTTCTAAGTGGTCTGCCTGTCTAGAACACATCCATCCGTTTATATCGTCATGACTAAGTATAGATTTTGCTTAGATGTGCTCAATCTAAACAGTGTACCCAATTATTCAACTACGTTTCTCCTTCAAGTACCATGTCGCAATGCGCAATGTCTGTGGGAAACAGATGTAATGTCCCCTGTTTGGGGGACCTGCGTGGTTCTGGTACGATTTTTTTTTGTGTTTAAATCAATATGTGGACACCGTAGATCGAAATGGCTTGCATTGAGTGGTAGCCCTGATTCTCATGGACACAGAAGTATGTCTCTTCTGCATGTGTAAAGCAGGATGTGAAATCTGACACCACTGGGATGTCCCTCCTACCATTTAATTTGCTCTTCCAACTGTCCATCAACTCCTGGCTGAACCCTACATCACAGCCACTAACAATGCATATGCCTGGAATCCTTACATTGTAACGCTGCAGGAGAGAGTGGTTTCGTCACTGTAGCACATTCAGATATCAATTTATAGCCAGTAATCTAAAATAATTGATAGATTTTAAACAAAAAACACGTTCCGTTTGTTATAGACAGACAATATTAATATGAAATGAAAGGTGAGTTCCTAACGAGTTCAGGAAGCCAAGCTAGAACTCTGTGAAACGTTCACAGCGATGGGGCAGATATTTTGATCAAGAGAGACCTTTAGAAAATATGCACATTTTCTCTTAACACTAAATATACAAATATGTATTTTACAGTTACTGTATAAGGAAGGTTAAATCTTATAGTTAGTTGCTTTACAAATTGATTATACTATATTTATAAAAAATATAAGTAATTTCAAGCCTTATTCTTACAGTTTTGTTGAATAGGAAATACATCATATAAAATATTTCATATTTATCATATTTGTACTGCAATTTATAACTTTTTTACCAGAAAGATTAGATTTAAACCTTTCTTGGAGTATGCAGCATTACTAGTTATTGTTTATGGCCCTCTCATGATAAATAATTACTTTTGGGGATGACCTAGATTACATTTTCGATTACATTTGGTTACATTTAAGAGGTTTGAAATGTGACGTTTGGAGAAATTGAACAACACAGAGCAGCAGGACCAACAAAAACACTTCTACATTTGACGTTTGGAGAACGTGGATGAATATCTAATTCTGTAGTGAGACTGAGAGAGCTTGTTGGTAAAAAGAGTTGATCTTAAGGTTGGTCGTAGCTATGTCTGACTTTGTGATCACAATTTACACCTGTTGCAAGTCATCCAACCATTATAATAAATGTAAAGCAATATAGGTGTGTGTGGTCAACTAGATGATAATTTCAGCACCGTTTTCATTAGGACAGTGCCATCGTGTTGCTTTGAGACCAACATGGGGACTCATCTTGATAAATAAATCAATGTCAGATTTTTTTTTAAACGAAATCTCTATGTACTATTATTTTCTATGAGTATCATGATGAAGATAGTTCCAATTTAACACCCTGCAGTGGTATTCAAAGCCGGGGAACTGCACTGCCACATTTTTGGGAACCAAGAATTACGAGAACAGATTGTATGGGACAACATAAAAACATTTTTAAGAAAGGTAATTGGAAAAAAAAAAGAAAATGTTATTGAGCAAATGTATTTATTGGTTGTCTTAATTTTGATAAGAGTGATGAAAATGCAATGAATTGAAGGTTATTAAGGTTCCCACTTCGCACAGAAGTCAATTCAATGTCTATTCCACATTGGTTCAACGTAATTTGTGGAAACAATGTTGATTCAACCATATACCCAGTGGGTTCTGTCATTTGATTTGGGGTGGGGTCCCCAGAAATTCTGGCCCCAAAAAAATGGGGTCCCCAGTAAAAAAGTTTGAATATCACCACTGCCTTACGCCCTTCCCACATAAAAGGACTTACGCCCAGATGGGGCAACAGGTATACTTTTTTGCCTCATTTGCATTTCTCAAGGTGGTTAGAGGTGTGGTTATGCACACACTGCACATATACACACCCCTGTGCACACATGCGCACGCACACACACACAGAAAGCATGTATTAGCCTGTCTTCCTTATCTTTGTGCTAAATCAGCCCATAGAGGGCTGAAGGATTTGCATAGCCTACCTGTTATCTATTCTCTAAAATTAGATCTTATTAACCCAAGGGGTTCTCTTTAATGTTTTCTTATAGTTAGTCCTTATATTTTTGGTGACTGGCATCTAAAGATAAAAGCAACAACATAAAATCTAATTGTGGAACGATCTTCCCCCTGAGGCAGAGTCCCTGCCCATCTAAAAAAGCGCTGACTTTGCTGATAACTTCTTTATTGAGAAAAAATTTACTGCTGTGATATTTGGTTGTCTCACCTAGCTATCTGAATGCACTAACTGTAAGTCACTCTGGATAAGAGTGTCTGCTAAATGACTAAACTGGAAATGGAAAAGGTAGATTAATAGATCAATTATATTTATTTGTTCTTATTTTTCTAAAAATAAGGAAGTGTTTCTTAACGCAAGAGTGCCAGAAGTTGACATTATAGTTAATAGTCTCAGTAGGCCTAACAACACCTCAGCAGACAACCGGCTGAACAATAACAGTAATAACATTTTAATAACACAATAATTAACATTAAGCCTATCAAATTCCTTTATTCGATTAGGAGTGCATTTAGGATCTCATTTTGGGCATGTTCCCTCCAATTATGAATGCGTATGCTGATGCATAAAGGTGTTACAACAAATAATGACACCACACCAACCAGAACGCACTGTGCTTGGCATTAATGTTTGCATTGATTAGGGTCGAGACAACCCATACTTTTGTCGTGCCTTTTAATTGGACGGTACCAGGTTATCCATTCCTGCACAGTGCGCACACACAACGAGAGATACAAACGTGAGACCAAAATGTTGCGCAACTTCAAATCAATCAAACTATTGCAATCATTATTCGGCAAGGCGTCAAATCACTTACCACTAAAGGTATGGAGCAGATGAGAACCACCACGGAGGTAGCGATGAGCAGAATGACCATCTGGATCTCTGCGCCGGCCATGCGTTGGAAGCTCCGTCTGCGCCTGAGGACCGCTATGCGACCTCCCTGGTCCGTACCCAGCGATGTCCTGCGGATGAACCGCTTGTGCATCATAATCAGCGCCCCGCACACCAGCACGTTGCATATGACCGTGGTGAGGATGAGGAAAGAGCTCACCCCGGCATACATGTAGGAGAAGGTGGCGTGCGTGGAGTCGTTAGTCCGCCAGTCGATGAAGCACCAGGTCTCTGGGAACTGCTTTTTCACCTTACCGAGTCCCATGGCAGGCAGCGCGCAGAACAGCACGTTGGAGATGTAGATTCCCGCAAGCGTCAACGCAGCAAGTCTTTGGTCCACGTAATGGTTGTAGAAATATGCATGATTTATAGCCAGGTATCTCTCTATGGACATGGCACAGATGATGCTGAGGCCGACCAGAAAGAAGAAGAGAAGGATGAAGCCGGAGTACTGACACAGTGACTCTCCTCCCGGCCACTTCCCTTGCACACGGGTGGCGATTGTGACGGGGCTGGCCAGCAGCGTGCCCAAAAGGTCGGTCACCGCAAGCCCACACACCAGCGTGTAGAAGGTGGTCTCCTTCTGTTCTTTCCGAGACTTTCGGAGCACCACGATGGCGATGACATTCCCCACCACTCCTAATATGAACATAATCACCGGGATAGTAGGCTCCCGGGGCCCATCTTTCATCGTGCCATTATTCATACCTGTCACAATTCTCTCACACTGTCTTTATGAAATGAAATAGTCACTTCTTCACCAGTGTCCTCCTCTCCCAATCCATTTGCATGTGGTTAACCTTTCCGTAGGTGCGCGCTCTCCAAGTCGTTCAATAACTTGCAAATCCATACTTCCCCAATTTCTATTGTCTTAACTAACCGTTACACGCTTGAATAACAACCGAATGTCTCCGTGTTTGAATGTACATGCTCCTCTCTTTTGTTAGTCACTAACTTTAGGTTTTTTACTATCCGAAGTGTTTCTGTCCCAGGCGTGCTGCACACCGCGAGGTCCACATAGACACTGACAACGGAAGTTTTTGCTCGGAGCTTGTGTTTAACTCCTCCTTTGTCGTCGCTCCCCTCACTGTAAGTTTGAAGCAGCTGACGTCTCTACATCAGAAATGTATTTGAACCCAGGAAACCACACAATGCGTATTTTTTCCTTCAGTTTACAGGTGACTTCAAATAGGCATAGGCCCTATTTCATATAGGGGTTGTTTTCTACTGTATTCCCACCATTGGTCTTGATTACTCCGTAGCCCAGTCTTGTACAATGGAGCAGTTTTATAAAATGGTTCTTGTTCCTCTTATTCGCATTGCGCACACCCATAATAAATAATGTTATAAATGCTTGCAAAGTTTCCAGTTTCCATGTGAGTTATTAGAGAGGTAGGATATAGAGATAAAACAAATAATAATAGTGTTTTAAGTTACCCTTGACATGCCACTCCTGAACTGTAAAAGGCACAACAATGTGAATGCATAAAGTCCTCCAATGGGATCCTTGCCTTCACTATCAGGTTACACATCTACCTGTCTCCCCCCTCTGTTTTTGTTAGCTTATTATTTTTTATAAATGCCATCAGCTATAAGGTGACAAACTGACTCTAACTTGGCACTTAATGTTGAAAAGTTATGTCTGAAAAAAAGAGTGGAAGAGTTCATACGCAATAATTGTCCCATGACGAAAAACACAGTGTTGAATTGCGGTTCATGATTTCGATAGTCCATCACGGCGGGAGGAACCTCAGTTTTTATGATGGATGGTGAAAGGAGCGGGTAATAGAGTGTGTATAAACTGTAACCGCAGTTAGCCACAGCCCTGTTCTATCTACTGTTCTATCAGCACCAGAGAGCAGAACACTCGGAAATCTGCTTCAAATGTACACAATTATTTATTATTTGCAACAAGACTGTAATGGGAATTCTATGAACCTGTGAACATTCAGATTCTCCCTTTTGTTCATTTAGTTAATACATGTATGTCTGCCACATTAAAGGGGAGTGAAGGGGGATAGGGAGCGAGAGGCTAAATCCCAACCATTTGTACAAGTGTCCCAAAACGGAGGGAATATTTGTATTTGTATTTATTATGGATCCCCATTAGCTGCTGCCAAGGCAGCAGGTACTCTTCCTGGGGTCCAACAAAAATTAAGTCAGTAATATACATTGTAATAAAAATGTTAAACATTAAAATACATTTTACAACAGATTTCACAATACAGTGTGCCCTCCAGTCACTACTCTACACAATCATTTTTACATTTTAGTCATTTAGCAGACGCTCTTATCCAGAGCAATGAGAGATTGACATGCATATTATTAATGTTAGCTCTATGTGTACATTTAAGGGCCAGCCGTGCTGCCCTGTTCTGGGCCAGTTGTAATTTTCCCAAGTCCCTCTTTGTGGCACCTGACCACACGACTGGGCAGTAGTCCATGTGTGACAAAATTAGGGCCTGTAGGACCTGCCTAGTTGATATTGTTGTTAAGAAGGTGGAGCAGCGCTTTATTATAGACATACCTCTACCCATCTTAGCTACTGTTGTATCAATATGTTTTGAGCTTGCTCAATTTCCACATTATTCATTACAAGATTTAGTTGAGGTTTAGGGTTTAGTAAATGATTTGTCCCAAATACGATGTTTTTGGTTTTTGTAATATTTAGGACTAACTTATTTCTTGCTGCCCATTCTGAAACTGACTTCACTCGCTGTAGTAGCTGACATCCGCATACATAGACACACAGGCTTTACTCAGAACCAGTGACAGGTCATTAGTAAAGATTGAAAAAAGTAAGGGGCCTAGACAGCTGCCCTGGGGAATGCCTGATTCTACCTGGATTATGTTGGAGAGGCTACCATTAATGAACACCCTCTGTGTTCTGTTAGACAGGTAACTCTCAATCCACAATATAGCAGGCGGTGTAAAGCCATAACATTTTCCAGCAGCATACTATGATCGATAATGTCAAAAGCTGTACTGAAGTCTAACCAAACAGCTCCCACAGTCTTTTTATTATCAATTTCTATCAGCCAATCATCAGTCATTTGTGTAAGTGCCATGCATGTTGAATGCCCTTCCCTATAAGTGTGAGGAAAGTATTTTGTTAATTTATTGACTTTAAAATAGCATTGTATCTGGTCAAACATAATTTTTTTCCAAAAGTTTATTAAGGGTTGGTAACAGGCTGATTGGTCAGCTGTTTGAGCCAGTAAAGGGTGCTTTACTATTCTTGGGTAGCGGAATGACTTTTGCTTCCCTCCAGGCCTGAGGGGACACCATTTTTTGTAAGCTTAGATTGAAAAGATTGCAAATGGGAGAGGCAATATTGTCCGCTATCATCCTCAGTAATTTTCCATCCAAGTTGTCAGACCCAGGTAGCTTGTCATTGTTGATAGACAACCAATAATCTTTTCACCTCTTCCACACTCACTTTACGGAATTCAAAATGATGATGCTTGTCTTTCATAATTTGGTCAGTTATACTTGGATGTGTAGGTTCAATGTTTGTTGCTGGCATGTCATGCCTAAATTTGCTAATCTTGTCAATGAAAAAATGCTTAAAGTAGTTTGCAATATCAGTGGGTTTTGTGATGAAAAGCCATCTGATTGAATTAATGATGGAGTTTGCCTTTTTTCCCAACATTTATTTTAAGGTGCTCCAAAGCTTTTTACTATCATTCTTTCTATAATTTATCTTTGTTTCATAAGTATAGTTTCTTCTTCTTTTTGTTCTGTTTAGTCACATGATTTCTCAATTTGCAGTAAGTTAGTCAATTGGTTATGCAGCCAAACTTATTTGGCATTCCTTTTTCCTCATCCCTCTCAACCATAACATTTTTCAATTCCTCATCAAGCCACGGGGATTTAACAGTTTTTACAGACATTTTCTTAATGGGTGCATGTTTATTAGTAACTGGAGTAAGCAATTTCATAAATGTGTCAAGCACAGTGTCTGGTTGCTCCTCATTACACGCCACAAACCAGCAAATATTATTTACATCATCAACATAGGAATAACTACAAAACCTCTTGTAGGACCTCTTATACACAATATCAAGTCCATCCTTTGGAACTTTGGTTTTCCTTGATATAGCTACCATATTGTGATCACTGCATCCGATGGATTTGGATACTGCTTTACAGCAGATTTCTGCAACATTAGTAAATACCCTGGTAGGTTGACTGATAACCTGAAACAGGTTGCAGGCACTGGTTAAGGTTTGAAGCTTTTTCTTGAGTGGGTAGCTTGATGAAAGCCAGTCAATATTTAGGTCACCCAGAAAATATACCTCTCTGTTGATATCGCATACAGTCGGAAGTTTACATACACCTTAGCCAAATACATTTAAACTCAGTTTTTTACAATTCCTGACATTTAATCCTAGTAAAAATTCCATGTTTTAGGTCAGTTAGGATCACCACTTTATTTGAAGAATGTGAAATGTCAGAATAATTGTAGAGAGAATGATTTATTTCAGCTTTTATTTCTTTCATCACATTCCCAGTGGGTCTGAAGTTTACATACACTCAATAACTATTTGGTAGCATTGCCTTTAAATTGTTTAACTTGGGTCAAACGTTTCGGGTAGCCTTCCACAAGCTTCCCACAATAAGTTTGGTGAATTTGGCCTATTCCTCCTGACAGAGATGGTGTAACTGAGTCAGGTTTGTAGGCCTCCTTGCTCGCACACGCTTTAACATTTCTGCCCACAAATTTTCTATAGGATTGAGGTCAGGGCTTTGTGATGACCACTCCAATACCTTGACTTTGTTGTCCTTAAGCCATTTTGCCACAACTTTGGAAGTATGCTTGGGGTCATTGTCCGGCGGTTTTGGAGCAGTGGCTTCTTCCTTGCTGAGCAGCCTTTCAGGTTATGTCGATATAGGACTCGTTTTACTGTGGATATAGATACTTTTGTACCTGTTTCCTCCAGCATCTTCACAAGGTCATTTGCTGTTGTTCTGGGATTGATTTGCACTTTTCACACCAAAGTACGTTCATCTCTAGGAGACTCCTTCCTGAGCGGTATTGCAGCTGCGTGGTCCCATTGTGTTTATACTTGCGTACTATTGTTTGTACAGATGAACGTGGTACCAATGATGCACCAGACTTGTGGAGGTCTACAATAATTTTTCTGAGGTCTTGGCTGATTTCTTTTCATTTTCCCATGATGTCAAGCAAAGAGGCACTGAGTTTGAAGATAGGCCTTGAAATACATCCACAGGTACACCTCCAATTGACTCAAATTATGTCAATTAGCCTATCAGAAGCTTCTAAAGCCATTACATAATTTTCTGGAATTTTCCAAGCTGTTTAAAGGCACAGTCAACTTAGTGTATGTAAACTTCTGACCCACTGGAATTGTGATACAATGAATTATAAGTGAAATAATCTGTTTGTAAACAATTGTTGGAAAAATGACTTGTGTCATGCACAAAGTAGATGTCCTAACCGACTTGCCAAAACTATAGTTTGTTAACAAGAAATTTGTGGAGTGGTTGAAAAACGAGTTTTAATGACTCCAAGTGTATGTAAACTTCCGACTTCAACTGTACATTATCAAGCATTTCACACATATTATACAGATATACTGTTAGCACTTGGTGGTCTATAGCAGCTTCCTACAAGAATGGGCTTTAGGTGAGGCAGATGAACCTGTAGCCATATTACTGCAACAGTATTTGACATGAGATCCT